TATTTTCTTTTAAATGATTGCAAGTACAAAAATTTAAAAAAAGAAAGAAACTAAAAAAAAGTAATTTCTTCTAAATAATAATAATAGTCGCATATTAGTAGAGCGTAAACTATGCGATAATATGTGACTGACTAATTGATCCTAAATAAATAAATTCGACGTGATATATTAATTAATCTCAATTAATTCAGCTTAACATGTAAAACAAATGCATAGAGATAAAGGAAATAATAAAATGTGAGAGATACTTTAGGACCTTTCCAACTCTCTAGTAACTTCGATTCCCTCCCTCCCCTTCTTACAATCTTATACATATACGTACACCCACGTATGTGCACGGGCGAAGATCGAGTGACTATTGTTCAAGTGTTACGTTAAAAGAGGGTCCATTGCCCCTTAGCCGTGATTTATCGTCCTGCTAATGATTCGATTAAGCAACACGTCCGCGTGAAAAACGTCGTCATTGAGTGCAGGTCTCACTGCGGGAAGTTACCACATACATTAATATTTCCGCATGAAAATACGGTTATTTCACTCGTATTTTGACACATGCAACATACTTAAGAATAGCAAATTGTTTTATCAAACTTGTTCTTAAACTTGTTGCTTTCTGTCATTCTTTTTGATAATTAATTCCGAATAATTTCTGTCTCATTGTGTGAGGCTTTATTAAAATGATATATAAAAAAGTTTACTATAAATTTTTTAATACATTGCAAAAATAGATTATTTTGCACGGTAATTTTTTTTAGAGTTTGCTTTTATAAAATTAGGAATTAAAAAGATGTGTAATATGTAAAAAACATTGTTAACAAGCATATAACAATTTATAAATCTATGAAAAGAAGCTTCTTGTTGCAAATTAAACACGAATAATTTCTACATAACTTAAGAAAAAAAGAAATTTTTTTTTTCGATTAATATCTATTTTGCTTCCATTCCAAAAATATTCTTCTCACTGTGTTCTCATTCGAGATATATAATAACATTATTTTATATATGTTATTCAATAATAGACATATTTTTGTGACAAACAATATTCCTCGTTACTCCGTAACATTCCAAAATATATCTAATATCAATTCTGATGAAAATACGACCCTATATTTCGTTATGAGAAAATATGGCAAGCGACAAGACGGCGAGAGAGAGAGAGAGAGAGAGAGAGAGAGAGAAATTTAGAGATTAAAAAGAGTGACGGCAGTTCAGCAACCTAGAGACAGTTGTGGGTAAGCCAGCCATACCCGACGAAGACACGAGGAGTTCATAAATAATCGAAACGTTAGAACACACGCCAGTAGTTTCCGCATGAAACATTGATCGGGCAATGCGGACATTACAGGTCGTAATGAAATAAGTGGGCAGTGAATCACTTTTAGTTTTACCCGCCTCGGCCTCGGCTAACGATATTTTGATAACTCTCTCGGATTAATCTTGTGGCGCGCTCGACGGCGTACGATAAATAAAAAACCACTGAAGAGAGTAAAAAGTTTTAAAAAAGGGAAGTAAAAATATTTTTGACCCGCAAAAAAAATTTTTTTAAAAATCTGAAGTTTTGTTAGATAAATATTTAAAATAGACTTCTATTTACTTTGTGGTTTCCGCGAATATAATATATAGCATATACATATATCGTATTAATGAAATTTTGTATTTGCGATTTCGAAGATCGTTATAACATCATTAGTATCAATAGTAATACTATATTATACTAGTGAATACGATATATTAATTATTATTAGACGATATCATACCAATTCTAAAAACCAATAATCATACATATTTTAACCGGAAAACATGTTCGGAAAGATATATATATATATAAGTATTCTTAAAAATTCGATATTTCTTTTGTGGGAAATATTCATCAAACTTTTTTATCCATTTTTGTCTGCATTAACGACAATATCTTTTATTTATACTTATAGTAATAAATTCTACACCATATTGTAAAATTTATTTTTTATATTTGAAAATTGCTTTATTCAATTAAAAGTTCACGCGGCATTAATATTGAATTAATGCCAGTGAGAAACTAATAGAAGCAGGAGATCTATTCGTTTCATCTTGTCTATAAAATGTATATAATTTTGTTTATAAAATCATTGAAAGAAAAAAATCGCAATTTTTAATGCTAAAATATTAATTGCGATGCAAGTTTAAGTACCAATCTCTTTCTAAAGAGCAATATATTCTTTATTATTATCATAAAAAAAGGTTTTATATCATTTTCATATTTATGCTATGATAGAAAAATTAATACGATAATACAATCACAGATTATATCTCTTATTTTTATATTAAATAATATAAATAATGTTATATATTATACAATTCCTTGAGATGTGATGTCATATTAATGTTGATTGACAATTACATTTTGTATTAATATTAAAAGATTTAAATTTTGTTTGAACGCTCGGTTTAGGTTTAAAAAATGCCTTCACGTTGAAATGGCTTCAAAGGCATGCTATAAGTTATATACGGCTTATAACCGCGATATTCTTCGAACGTAGAACGAACCTAGTAACATGTCGCACAAGTGACAGATGTAGTTGATGCGGAATGTCCCATATAATATCGATCACCACGGTGTACAGGCAAGTCTAAGTGATATGAGGCTATGAATGTAATGTATAGCTTTCATTAAGATATCCTCTTAGAGGAGTCGCTTTGATCAATAAGGAAGAGTATAGGTGATAACAAATTGGCTGCAGCCACAGTAAGTTGACGCGTATACAATAATCGATATTAAGTTACGCAAATTGAATTAACGCATTAATAGAAATTCATCGTAAACGAATTACCGCACATGATGTGTTTTTAAAGTAGTATATGTATTTATATTATGTATCGGTCAAAGAAAAGTATATAACATCAAAAATAATAAATTATTGGAAAGCTGGAACTAAAAAAAAAAACACTATCGCAAGCAAATAAAATTTGCACGACTTCTGTCTTTCTCTATTTCTTTTTTGAACAAAATTATATACAATTCGAACTTCGAGCCGGAAAACAAACGACAAAAATCGAGAAACGAAAAGAATTGATTAAAAATAAATTTAAAAAATGATACCAATATTAACATATAGAACAATATCTCACTTTTTGTATACGAAATTCTTTTTACATCGACGGGTTGTAAGGAGGAAATTTTGGCGAAGCCCCCTCACGCGCATAACGCGCCATGAAATGAAATCACACCCCGCCCCTCTTGTTATCCCGTTCCGCGTTGCTCATAAATTTCGCCGTAGCGTAGTTTAAGCTATTTTCGTTACCATTAAATGTTGACTTCGCCGAGGGGGCCCGGATCTCTCCAAACACGCGAAAGGGAGAATCAGGATGATCCCCCCCTTCGGTTCGTCCGAGTTTCGCCGCCGATACTGACGGATATATGTCTGTCCACCGTCTCTGGGGAGACTCGGTCAAGTATCCATCCTTTGGATCGATTCCAGTGTAACGGATGAATTTGATTACCGAACATCATAGGGCATGTGTACGCGCTAATACAGTGACGTTACCGGACTCGAGGGGATCGTAACTTAATGCCCGTTTATCCGTGCAAATATCGTCGTTTTTCCAATTATACATCGCTTTGCGCCGAAATTATTATACAAATCCCATCTGTATCTTTAGCAACGAGTATCTCGGCATTAATTATGCCAAAAGCCATCAAAAAAGTTACACGAATTATTTTCAGTCTTACATAAGCGTTATTTCGCGTTGCTATTTTTCCATCGAATGCTGAACAATTTTCCAAAATAGTTGACTAAGTTTCAAAAGCATATTCTATTCATCTTAAGACTGAAAAAAAGTCATATATAGATCCGGAAATGTTTCCTTCGCAAGTTACATAAACGTTCTTTCCACGCGACACATGTTCGTAGTTCACACGACGAGTAAGTGTATTTTGAACGTTTTCTTCAAACTTGTAACCCTTTACGAGACCGCGTTTGTAACTTATTACTGCAGTTCGGACAAACTTGCCTTCGAGACAAAGTAATTTAACGGTCGAATGTAAAGTTTATACGTAATGTAACACCGACAATTGGGTCTATTCTATACTCGCAATTTTTTGCAGTTTTCTACCTTTACTTTAAAAAGTATTATAATACGCGCGTCGCACGCCCGTTAAATGTTTTTTTAAAAATTTCAAACAGATATAATCGTCGAACACTACCACCTCAATTTACAATTGAAATTTTAATCGAGAGTATAGAAAAATATTTTTAAATAATAAATGTTTTGTTATAATATCTATCTACTAATATGTCGCACATTCGCTTGAATCAATACCAGCTAATGGATATTAATACTCGTTGAATAAAAAAGTTTTATGCTTTCTTTATTTGTTCCATTCGCGCAATTGGTAATTAAATTTACATAATTCAAGATAATGGAGAATTCTGGGAATGCTTCAATGTGCAACCTAAGCGATAGAGATGTTGTCGGAGTTGGAAAAAAACTCGGAAAATGCTAACGTCTCGGATAACAAAACTATTTTCGGAATATCGATCGTACAGCCATGTTGCCATCCGGTACATAAACTGGCTGTTGCCCAGACAACGCGTCGAACGGATTAAATTCAATAAGAATTTATATTGAGAATGACGGCAATTATCATTATAATTATCATGTTTACCATGAAACGCTTGCAAATTATATTGCATAATTTGTTTCTTTTATCATATACTCTTATTTTCTGCTCAAAAGAATAAGTAATAAACAATTATAAAAATGGATATAGTATCTGAAAGCTGTATAAAAAAGATCTTTTATAATTTAGTATGCAAATACTTATTCATTTATAACAATATCCATTTATAAATCAAAAATAATTATATACGATATTTTTTTAGAGAAAGCGATAAAAGAGAAGTTCGAATAAATCGCGAAAATTAAAGAAAGATTTAACAATTATGCAATAATGGAGCACATTATAATAGCGGCCTGTTAACGGTATTATTTTTAATGGATACACGATGTACTTTGTGTTTCAGGGTGATTTGTTTGGTGGCTTGAATAGCGGTTTGCAAGACGGCTTACTTTCAAGAGCAGAGGCTTTGGCAGCAGATTTGGGGAAGCACAACGCCGGGACGCCGATGCCACTAAAGCACGATCCCGTGTCTGTGTATCATCATGGAGCACACATGCCTACCCCCCATCCAAATAACCGGCCACATCATCAGGTACAATCACACCTTCTTGTGAGTCCGCATTTTTGATATACTATTCTATCGTATTAAAAAATCGTGTAAAAAATAAACTAGAGATATAAACTTTTCTCCTTATACTTATACTTATTGTTAGATATCATAACTACATTTAGAGAATAATATTGCCGATAATATAATAAAAAAGAAAAAAAATTATTCGTACAGAACGATTATCGCAATAAAGGCGTCCCCTTTTCGCCGTCCCCGAGCGTTGCCGTTTCGTAAACCCTCCCCCGCACGCATCTATAAAATGCAACGAATTCAACGGTCAGAGTTAAAATCGTTGCCAATAATTAATTACAGGCGGCAATTAATTTTGGATTCATATTTAATCAGCAGATTGAAAAATTTAATTTACGCGGTTTATTTGTTAATATCGCGAACAATGCAGACAGCGATATTAATTTCCCCCGCTTTTTAATGTTTAATAAGCCGCGTTATATTTATATTACCGCGTCGTTGTGTATTCGTAACCAGCGTGCAGTTTTAGCGTGATTACGCCGCTTAGAAACAGGCGCCTCTCAATACATGTATACGATATCGCAGCAAATTGCATTTCAATTTGTTGCCCCGCAGTGTACCTTATGCTAATCTGAGCAATCTGATGCCGATGAATGAATACGGGGGGCGACGCCGAGCAACCAACGCGCATCGACCCGGAATGATCTTCTCAAATGTAAGGGGCGTGTGCCGCTTGTGCTGTATACATATATACATATATATTATCTCCGTGTCGCGACGGTGTGCTTGTAATGCCCCCGCGATGAATTCTAAGGGTACGGGACCCGTGTCTGCGGTATGAGGGTTCGTGGCGGGTTTTGCTTAACTTTTCTCGTATCGGCCACCCGCGGATCTGCGTATGCGATTTTATCCGTTATAAATCGTCTCTCCCGACTCCTCGACGCTTTCTGAGATACAAATTGTTTAGAATTTTATATTTTAATTCGTGTACACGTTTCTTTTTTAACTTTTTCCTTGCTTTGCAAAGTTTGATGCTATTTTCCAAAATCATGTTTTCCGAAACCAATTTTTTTATTTTCACTATGGATTACTGAAAATATTTCGCATTTTTATAAAATTTAAAAGTGAAAATCTTTGTTCGTGCGATTATTTTTATTAATATGTAAATACAAAAATAAGACAATGGGGAACCTGATATATCCTGTTTTGATAAAATATGATTAGCATAATTAATTTGTTTTGTTTTAACGTGTACGGCTTTATTTATAAATCAGTTTCGAAAATGTTGCGTTTGTTGAGTGTTGTATAAATGATTCTCCATTTCACACGCAGTGACTAGAAAAGCCGAATCTATTCAATTGCAATTTCACGCAACAATAATAACGTCAAACCATATACCGTGAGCTTTAATAGATATTGTTTCAGAAAAAGCATATATACGAATATATAAAATGTAAAAATGTGACAGAAACCGAGAATAAAAGAAAGAGAGGGGGAAAGAGAGCAATAAAAAAACAACAAAAATCGCATGATTTTAGATTCACGTATATATATCAGAAAAGAAAGACAGAGATAAAAACAACGTCGAGCTGACGCAGCGTGAAGGGATCGGGAGAGAACAACACGGCCAACAAGAAGAGTGGAAAAGAAAAATTAGGGGGCGAGGTGGGCAATAGAGCAAGGAGAAAGAGCAAAACATAGAGGAGCCGGCTAACCCTACCATCGTGTCAGCGTAATGATGAAATATTGCGCGGGTCTCTTGGGCCCTACACCTCGTACGCCCGTGGGCAAGTCCCCCGCTTCCCCCCCCCCCCCCCCCCCCCTCCGTATTCGCTGTATATTTGCCGCCGGTGGTGTTCCCGACAGCATCCACCTTCTGCCTTTTCCACGCTGTCCGTGCACCCCCTTGCATTTCTGATGTAACTGCGCTATCCTATAGTACACCACCGTCGACCGAAACCGTGCCATCCAGTTAGCTCGCTATACTGCCGTTCTCATGAGGATAGATGATGCGCGTGTTGTGCCTTACGCGTGTATGTACGTGTGCAAGCCGGCGCCCCGCGAGATTCGTGTATAAGCGCTTATGTATGTATACGTGAGGTAATGGGCCGGGTTATGTGCGAACGACGCGGATATTTTTGGAGTAGCGATTTTTTTATAACGGTATATTTTTTTCCCCGGTATCACGTATATTACGAACTGGCCGAACGTGGGCCGCGGTCGCAATCCTGTATATGTCCAAAACTGAGAATAATTAATGTAACCGGATGTAAACAAACGAGAGGGGATTAGATCGGGATTGAAAAGGATGTGTACACAATGCTTGATAAAAATGTTCCGGTATAAACGTACACGCGCGGAAATGTTTCCTGAAATATTTATTCATGAAAGGATTCGCGTATCATTATTGTTGAATATTATCGTTACCTCCGAATATTTAAATGAATGTGCTTATTCAACGGATAATTCTTTATTTGTTTTTTTTTATATTATATAAATGCATTTAAATATTATTATACCAATTATAAATTTTGATATATTTTTTATTTGTCTATATCGATTTCTTTCTTCCCTCTCTTTAATGAAAGGATATGATTATTTTATAATAAAATCTGTATATAATCGGAATTATTTTATCAATTGGCTTTGTCGTGTAAATTTTTGTCGAGTGAGTTTATTCCTATATGTGTATAAGGAACATTTTATTTCTGAAACATACGCGTCAACTAATTCTAATTACATGTCCTGTCCCCACGGTCGAAACCGTGGCGTCTAGTTAATTCAGTATATTCCCGTGAGACCAGATGATTTTATGTGTCTAAACAAGATTGTACATGTGTACGTGATACCTTACATACTTAAGTAGGGGCAAAAGTCACAATAAATAAATCATGTATTAAAAAAATTTAATAATTAAAATAAATTAAGCCAATAAATTGATTATACAACTCGAATAAGAATCGCAGTACATAATATTAGAACTTTTTCAGAAAATTATAAACGTGAAGAATAAAAAGAATAAAAAATATCTTTCACATATCCTTTTCAAATAAATGAAACATTATTTAAATAAAAAATAAAAAAACAGTTTCTTTTGTCTACTTCTCTGTAATTCGTATTCGCGACTCACGACATGCGGCATCTTCAGCTTGTTACCCGATATTAATCTTAAGAAAGTTAATCCCGAAATTAATCCCAAGAACGAGTTAATAGCACGCCGCTTATGTAACGGCACTTTAAACGGAGAAAAATATGAAAGAAGTTCATAAATATATAATCTCTAAAGAGTTGTGTGTGTGCTCGCGAAGTGCGTCCTGCATTCGTGACGACGGCCGCACGTGCTGCATAATTATGCGTGTTACCTTGTACATATTTCCTGCTCTCTCCACCGCACTGATGGTGCTTTATCAAAATGCATTTCCGCAAACTCGGCAATACGATACGTATCTGGCTTTTCATCGTATTCACATTTCTACACTTTATTTTACTTGAAAAAGAATAGCGAATAAAATTTTTCAAAAAAATTTTCTTACTGATATAATTACCTATACAATTATCGCGATTTATTATAATTTAATTTTAATATATATCGTTATTTTTTGACATTAAATATCATGATAATTAAATGTTAAATTGACATTCTGTTGAAGTAAAATTTACATGATATTTTATAAAGCTGCAAAATATCTTTTTGTAAGCTTATAGCTGCTAATATTAAAACAATTTAATAATTAGAAAATGTCATTAATCATAAAAAAATTTGTATCAATAAACAGTGAAAAATATTTGTGTTTTGTTATGTGTGTTTAATTTAGATATTATATTTCCAGATATAATTAATCTTTAGAGCAAGTATTATATATAAAGAATTAAATGAAATCAATTACAGACTTCCTTTTATGCTGATGTATTGTTAATTATAATATTAGAGATTTAACATATGTGAAAATAAATCGAGAATATTGATAAGAGAAAAGTCTTGAAATATATAATTTCTTTATATTATAGAATATCTGAAAGATGAGAATAAATATTCGACATTAAAAGAGACAATAAAATATTAAATCTTAATATACATTAGATTTTATTTATTTTTCCTACGTAATCTGTCAGAATTCTAATAGTTGTCATAACCGTGCACTTCTATATCATCTTATTAAAAAACATTTACGTCAGCGTATCCAACAAAACTTTTCTTTATCAAAGCTTTCAATTTATCGTAAACCCCCGTAAAATTCGAGAAAAAAAGATGCCAATCTAAAAATTTCTTCTAGGAAAAACAGGCATAGTACACATCACTCAAATTGAGTATTCTTAATTCGCGTGTTCCAGATGAGCCATCCGGGGATGGAGAGCCTCGACATGCTGGACCCAGCAAACTCGATGACGACATTAACGCCGATGTCCGAGGGCACGGGCGGCGGACCCGGGCATCACGCGGGCATCCACGGTCCATCCGTGTACGGTGGCATGAATGGAATGATGAGCCACCATCATCATCACGGCAATCTAGGCGGTGGTGGCGGAAGCGTGCCCCATCCGGCACATCATCATCCGGCGATGGCAGCCGCGGCCGCGGCGGCGGCCGCGGCGGGTCTCCATCCCGACGCCGATACCGATCCGCGCGAGTTGGAGGCCTTCGCCGAACGATTCAAGCAACGGCGTATCAAGCTCGGTGTCACGCAGGCCGACGTCGGCAAGGCACTCGCCAACCTCAAGCTACCGGGCGTCGGCGCTCTCTCGCAATCGACGATCTGTCGCTTTGAATCGCTCACGCTCTCGCACAACAACATGATCGCCCTGAAACCGATCCTCCAGGCTTGGCTCGAGGAGGCGGAGGCGCAGGCGAAGAACAAGCGACGCGATCCCGATGCGCCCTCGGTATTGCCGGCCGGCGAGAAGAAGCGGAAACGCACCAGCATCGCCGCGCCCGAGAAACGCTCGCTGGAGGCGTACTTCGCGGTCCAACCGCGACCCTCGGGCGAGAAGATCGCCGCGATCGCGGAGAAGCTCGATCTTAAGAAGAACGTCGTCCGTGTATGGTTCTGCAATCAGCGGCAGAAGCAGAAACGCATGAAATTCGCGGCTCAACATTGACCCGAGGGTGGCTTGTGACAGCAGAACTGACCGTACCAGCTGCCTGGTCTCGAGCCGAAACCCGAACCCCTGACCGAGTTTCAGGGATGGCCGTGAGACAACGCTCCAGAACCGTCGGAGGCTCTAGGGCTTCCCTTGGACACCGTTGATGGACAACCCCCCGAATGACGAGAGATTCCGAGTCATCGTCGTCGGGCAAACATCATCATCGGGGATGTCCACTCGCGGGACGTCTTTCGCGGCCGCGCGAGATAAACGATGGCTCGATACCATGGGCAGATACTACCGGTACATCGTGCTGTCACAGGCTGAGGATGAGTCGCTTGTTATCACTGCGCGTGTGTAATATGCATGTAACGCATATTCTGGAATCACCGGTTGCAGGGAACTATTCTTGACCCGTCGGTTCGCGATTCTCTTTTTCTCTATCTATTTTTCTCTCAACTTGAACTATACGATTACGTCTCATCGCGCTGTGTGATGTTAAAGAGATATATAACCGGCGCAAACATACAACCTAATGCTGGTAACGTATTTACGAACGTTTCGCGATGAACAATATCATCGCGCTGTGATAAATATAAATCCATATCGGATTGCTTCTTCAACGCGGAGTTGACGCTAAACGAAGATTTCGTATACAAGATGTTTCACTTTTATCGGATAAGCCGTAATTAATTAAGGATTAACAGAAATTACGACAAATTTCTAATCAATTTTTCTTAACAGGTTTCAGTCGAGATTCACTCATACGCGAATAAATCCGAGTACGCCGCGCGATATACCTCTTTATTTCAAACGAAAATGCGCGAGAACAATTTTTGTTTGTAATAAAAAAGAGGCGCGAATCACGCATCTGCGAATAATATACAAATATAATACCGAGAAAAAACACCGATCGTTGCAATAATGTATGATGCTTTCAACAGTATGATTTTTGGAAAATGAGGAGATGCGTTGAAGGATTATATCAGCGCTTTCTTCGTATTTTCATTTGCGTTAACAGGAAGCATTATAGTGACGAATTCGTATTGCATACAATAACATTACGGAGTTATACAAATACCGCACGATTCGTCAGTTTCATTCGGGATATAATATTTACTAATATCGCTTTTAAGAATTTTAAAGTAAAATACATATTGCAATATTTGTTTGTGAAAATTTAATAGTAAACTTTGAGATAAATTTTACATTGCAATTAATCAAAATATAAAAGTTGCAAACATTTTAATACAAATAAATTCAAAAATTCTTCTTTTTATTAAAGAGAAAGAAACTCGAGTATTAAATTTCAGAAAAATTAAAAGTAAATTCTTCTGCGAATTCATTCAATATTTTTGTAGAAGACAATAAAGATATCCTAAACTATCAAAAACGGATAAAAATTACAGAGTTTAAGTACATATTGTGTATGCTTTTAAGGGAATAATTATAGGCAAAGGAGTTGACTTAATTTAAGCTATACGGTATTACTATTACAATACTTTCTCATGATCCTCTGAAGTAAAGAGCTTGCACACAGTCCGTAAAACTACGAGTTCGAGAAGCGCACCACCAACGATCGCGATAAAACAATTTACGATGCCATTTGCCCTTCGACCCTTTCGCCGTATGACATCCGCGACCGAAATCGCCGTTTGGCGCCGATTTCACGATCATATTTTTCGCAGACGCGAATATGCGAAATCCTGTAATTCATGACCCAAAATAAATCCACAATAGAGAAATGGTATTTCGTATTTCTTTGTTACAAAATAATCAAAATTTAATGAATTTCTATCAACTTTTGTCCATAATATCGCTTCAATATTTGTAGATGCATAATTGTGACAGCATTATGACATTTTATATATATTAACGATACAATATTATAGAGACCTCTACAAGAGACCTTTAACGCGAATATTACATTGCACTTGTAATTATTTATTAATAATTAATCAATTAAAAATATCATGCTTAAATGTGAAGAACATTTGAATGTTAAAAAAACAATTTTGCAACTTGTGGTTAAAAAAAATTTTGTTAATTTCTATAATTATTAAAAATTAATAAATAGAGAAAAAAAGAAAAACTTTTTATATACTTTCAGTACAGAAAGCAATAACATTTAATCGGATAATAATTATGATATTAAAAGTATCCGACACATATTTTCATATTAGCTATTAGTACGAACGTCACTGTATCGTTGACAAAATTACAATCTTCACAATTTTCATCTCTAATGATAACCGATGACATTTTACGTATTTGTAAGTCGATAACACATCGGAAACGTTCGTAAATCACCAGTTCACCATCGCAATAATTTATTGAGCAATAATCATTGAAGACACGATCGATCGCCGGGAGACAATCTCGGCGGGGATGAAGACGAAAGAAACAGAGAAAAACAGATAGAAAGAGAGAGAGAGAGAGAGAAATTTCTCGTCGTTCACTCTTCACGGACGAGCCTGCCGTGATGAATGAACGGCGAGGATCAAAGACCACCAACGCGTCTTGAAAAGTACAACTCGAAACATAAAATATAAAGTACGTATTGTTATAAAGACGACGCGCGGGTATATACGTCGCGCCGATGAAAAAAGTGATATTAATCCTAATGAAGAGACGCTCAGTGCAGTGTAAACAGTGAAGAGAACGAATAGCATGCGTGTGAACGAGTGAATGTAGCGTGAATGAGAAAGAACCAGAAAGGGGTTAAGATTTAGAAAAAGAAAGAAAGATAAATAAGAGATGAAAGGAGCGAGAGAGAGAAAGAGAGAGAGAGAGAGAGAAAGTGAGCGAGAGAGAGGAACAAACTAACAGAGCTAAGAGAAATGTTTTACGTAGTGATATTGGACAATCAGTGAAAAGACTGTACCATATCATATTGAAGCAATACCGTAGTATGTAGTAAACGAATTAATTATATTCTGTTCGTATTTTTTAATGATCGTCCGCGCATCCGCCATGCGTCATGCGCCGACTATTTTCGTAAAATTCGAGGAGGAGGCAGGAAAAGAAGGGAAGAGGGCAAACGAAGGGAGCCGCGGGAGGTGTTTTAGTCTCGATACCACACACATGTTCTGCTTTCAAAACCGACGATTAATATCTCCTTATCGATCCGATATCAGGGATGCGGGGAACGATGCCTGCACGCGCGCTCGGTTTCCACTCGCGTGAGTCAACGCGTGCGCCGTGGAAACGCGCGGTCTGTCAACGTGCGTGCGTCGGGGAAAAAAAAAAAAAAGAGTTCAGTTTTCGATTATGTTTTTCTCGATACACCCCGCGCGATCAACATCCCGCGCGCGCGCGAATAATAGGAGATCGAGAGGATCTCTAGCTGTATACACGCGTGTCTATCTCTCTTTTTGTTCGCCCGACGAGAAGTCCGTCGTATTGCGCCGTTTTTTTGCGTAACGACAACGAAGTTCTACGAATGCGAGATCGAAGCATCCTCTTAACGGAAGGTAAGACGCGCAGCGACTCGAATGAGAGAGAAAGAGAGAGCACGCGGTCGGTTTCACACGACCGTAATAGCTCGGCTGTAAGTCGCGATTGTTAGAATAAAATGCGCGATATCTTCTAAAGTTGGATACACGATAGAGACTTATTTCATGTAACTGAGTTACATCTTAAATATTAGTTTTGTCTCGATATTAGAAAAGTCTCGAAAAAATTTTCAAGTCACACAGATCTAATCTACTACTTGAAATCATTTCAACCAAACAGATTTTATATTTATAAAGTGGATAATTAATTATTTCTTATCTCTTATCTCACAATAAAAAAAAAAAAAATATTTCGGACGATATACGTTACTTAAGATCAAAATTTTATAGAATTATTTTTAAGTGAGAAAGTGATTAGAAAATTTAAGAACACAATTTCGTGTGTGTAAAATAAAGATAATTTAGTTGAATTAGATTAACATCAGAAATCCATTCTCTATATTGACAGATTGAAGAAGGTCGACCAGCCAAAAAGTTGACATTAGAAACGTGTCTCTCTACTTTAACAGATAGAAGAGGATCGAGCAACTGACATGAGCAAGTATCCGAGACGTCGATTCCTCGTTTAATTTCAACTTTGTTCCAAACTGATCTCGTACTTTCATTATCCGATTCTATAATATTAATGAGCTTAACATTTCATTTATCAACCATAGAAAATATGATTTGTCATCATGTAATAAGATCCACGTTCCAACAAAGTAATAGCTTAGATATTTCGCCTGATTTTACTTTAAATTTTTTCTAACAATTATGGGAACTTCCTTAATTACAGAATGTTTTCGTAGTGAATATTAAAGGAACATTACTTTTCAACGATTTTAACGAAATCTTCCTTTACTTTTTTACTTTTTGTACTTTCCAGCGCACTTTATCTTGGCAAAAATTTAATTGAAGAAAAAATATCGCGATTTTATTCAATCTTAAATCTTGCGAGAAATCTATATCCGTATTGGATAATGAAATATACAGTAAGAAAGTTTGTCGGATAATGTGTATCCAACGTTAGAAGACGTTCTGTGAGGAGGATCCAGGCAAATGAAAATATTAGTAATAGTTAAAGGTAAAATCGACGAGAAAAAAAAACGGTAGTGGTTTTTAAATTGTACATATGTAAGAGGATAAGTATTTTATAGGAGAGTAATAGCCGATTTGCCATTCTATTAGGTAGTGGAAAAGGAGTTTTAGTGCAATATAGAAATCTATAGCGAGACGTTCATTATTCATTGTTTTCTCTCTTGTACGTGGCGCGTCCGCCCGAGCGGGCCAATATCAGCGCGTTTTTATCAGCCTTCACCGACGGTCATCGAAAATCGCATGCAGGCAGATTCGCCTGACATCGCGGCCGTTCTTCTCTCGTAGGAAAAAAAAAAAAAAGAAAAAGAAAATTTATTTTCCTATACGACTGTTCAATTGCGTAATGTATATCTCGATTCTGTCGACGACGCAGATTGTCTTAAGCATGCAACTTTCTAGTCACTGTGTACACGATTTTCCTAATCCAAATTTTCAAATTCTGATGAATTAAAACGTTGGGTGGAAATGTCGCGGAAAAAAACCTACCATTTCTTTAATTGTTTCTCGTATCTTGTTCTTTTGTGAATATTGCTTATTTTCTGACGTTATATGGGAGCTATCGCAATGCCATTATTATAAAAAAACATTCTTAATAATGTTGTTGTTACGTAACTGATGAAATTATGTAAATATTATTCGTATTATCTCTATATAAATTAGGTTAAGAATACGTTTTACGCACTTGACAGAATGAACATGAAATAAGACATAAGACGCCACAGGAAGTATCCGGAATATATTGTGTGTATTAACAATATATAATTGCACATTATTACGCGTATGTTAAGTTGTTACAAGAGTTTTAATATTCTTTGTAAAAAAAAGAATCATAATTCTTCAATAACATCGGTACGTACAAAATTAACGAAGCAAACGAAAAACTAATGAAAAATAATCCAAAACTTCTAAATATAAAATCAATTAATTATTCTATTATTATCGCGATGTAAATACAGAAACGTCCTGAAATAAATTCCATACTTCCTGTATTTGGCCAAACTCAGCGTCATTAATTACTCTTTTCTCACTTAATCATACCGTATCGCGTTATAGTACGACTATATACAAATAAATTTTCTCACCTTACATTATATATTCATTGAACGACTAAATAAAACATTTGCTGGGTTGTAAATTACGATTCGTCGCTTACACAGTACGTCACGATAAGTTTCCATTGTTTAAACAAACATCGCTGTATAATATAAAGAAATTTTTAAAAAAATTGCGCGATGCAATATCATAGGATGTTCTAGAACCAAATGTTTTTTGAATCAATAATTCTTCAGGTTTTTCAAAATCGATTTTTTTTTTGTAAGAGAATATTAAAACACATCGATAGTTTTCTAATCCGCTATCAAAAATAGATTTTTCATATATTAAAATTTAATAGCTCTCTTTTAATTCATATCAAGCAAAATTTTAATTTGAAGAATTTGATTAAAAACATATATATTGAATTGTATATTAAAACATTGTTATAAAAATGATGACTTCTTCCAATTACCTTTTCTAAAAAATTTTATTCCAAACTAGTCAAAAAATATGTGACTGAAAAGATAGACAGTGGTTTCAGGACCTCCTACGCAAAAAGAAGGGTGATAATGATTTACTTTGGTATATACTGCAATAAAAAAGA